TCACATTGCGTCTCTAGTACCGTACACAAGTCCTCTGACTAAGCTACGCTTACCACAGTACCGCAATACCCAGCTGTTGAGGGGCCGCGCCCTCTCATTGCCGCAGCACCTACGCCCCCTTTGCTGTCGTGGATCCGCGCATTCACATTGCCGCAGCACCATCCAGCAGACCGACATCCCGTCGTCGTTGGGCCGCGCCCCGACATTGCCACGACACCGATTTTACCCACGCCTGGCCGTTCGACTGACCAAGAAACCCCACCTGCCCTTTTCAGGGCACTCGACCGGAAAGGTTACTTGGCAGCAATGGCGGAAGTCAACTGCTCACAGCAGTTTACTACTGTGAAAACCAAGAAGAACAGGAAAAGAAACCAGACCACGCCTACCACCAGGGCTAACAAAAAACCGACGATCTCCACCTCCACACCAGAGGATAACTCCGACACTGAAATGTCGATTGCTAACTCATGTATCTCCGAAGAGGATCATTCAAGGCCAGCCACTCCAGTGGACCGAACACCAAAAATTAAGATACCGCCAATCATAGTCCAAGGCTCCGCCTGGAGGACTGTAGCGAAAAAACTAATGACTTCAATGCCCGAAGATGCCGTGGAGGCAAAAGCCTTCGGCAAAGAAGAAATCAAAATCCAATGTTCTAACATGGAGGCCTTCAAGATAGTGCAAAAATACCTTACAGTGACCGGAACCGAATTTCACACCTTCAGTCTACCATCTGAAAAATCACTCAAAATAGTCATTAAAGGCCTCCTCAACAGCATCACTGAAGTAGAGGTCGCCGAAGAACTGAAAGATCTTGGATTCGCCACCAAAAGCGTCCGTCAGTTCGGAACTGCAGACAAGAAATTGCCAATCCACATGGTAATTCTACCAAACTCCCCGGAGAACAAAGGGATATTCCAACTTCGCTCTCTGTTCTACATGACCATCAGAGTCGAACGTTACAAATCAAACGCCCCATCACAGTGCTACAATTGCCAAAAATTCGGACACTCAAGCCACAACTGCGGATTCGCCACCAAATGCGTGAAATGCGCTGGACCACACCGACCCAGCGAATGCCCCAAGACCAAGGAAGAGGAACCAACCTGCTCCAACTGTGAAGGCCGCCACACGGCCAACTTCAAAAAATGCCCCGCAGTCATTAAGGCCATCACTGAGAAGCGTTCCACAAGGCCAATGATAACAAGAATACCCGCAAAAACTACAGCTCCAACACAACCGGAAACCTCCGGACCCGTCCAACAAGTCTCCCCAGGAATAACCTACGCCAAGGTCACGAAAGGAAACCCAGCAGTGATGCAACCAATAGCAGCTAAACTGCAGGAATTGTTACTCAACATTTCCTCGGGAAAAACGGATATGAAGGACGCTCTTATCGCCACAATCATGGCAATCCTCCCCCTTATCCTAAATAACAATGGATAACACCCGCATCCTCATTTGGAACTGCCAAGGCGTAACTCCCAAACGCCTACAACTCCTCCAGTTTGCCAGAGACAAGAAAGTAGACATAATGTTACTAAACGAAACGCACCTGACGGACACCATGAAGTTCAAGCTGGCAAACTTCCACACGTACGCGACAAACCGTACTCGTACAGACAACAGTCGCCCGAGCGGAGGCACGGCAGTTCTCGTGCACAAGAAGTACACCCACCATCAAGTACAAGTTCCAACGATGTCCATCGAGAACACCACTATCCACCTACAGCTCGGCAGAAAAGAATTCAGGCTAACAGCAGCATATAAGAGCCCACACACCCAGCTGGATACGAGCGACATATGCTCGCTGCTAAACTCCAACCTCCCTACAATCGTGGCAGGCGACCTGAACGCCAAACATCCAACGTGGAACAGCAACCAGACAAACACGGCCGGTAGGCGTCTTGAAAGATACCTGTCCACAAGAAACGACACTGCGGTAGCTGCGCCGGACTCCCCGACACACTACCCGGACATCCCGTACCACAACCCAGACGTACTAGACATAGCCATACTAAAGACGGGCGGAATGCAATACCAGCTGGACAACTTAACTGACGAACTGACTTCGGACCACACAGTCCTACTACTGGACATCCGAACTGGAAAAGAACATTTGACGCCCCCGAAACCACTCCGAGCAGTCAACTGGACCCAATTCATGACCGACCTCACGAACTCAGTGGACATTAACCCACACACTGAAACCAAAGAGTCTATTGACGAAGCTATCACGACACTCACCTCCAACATAGCCCAGACACTCAACAACAACACGACAACAGTCACACCGACTGACAGAAAATATGACTTACCCAGAGCGATCACGCTGGAAATCGACTACAAACGCCGGCTTCGGTCAAGATGGCAAAGGACAAGGGACCCCACGGTCAAAACCGCCCTGAACAGGCAAAACGCCTTGGTCAAGAACCTCTTACAGTCCCACCATGAAGAGAACTGGACAAACTTCCTGGGATCAGTTGACCCCAGCGAACGCCCATGGACGAGACTCTTCAACCTCAACCGAACCCTCCTCCGGAAAAAACCCGCAGACCGACCACTGGCCGACCAAACCGGCAACCTCCACTACAACGCGGACAACAAAGCAGAGATCTTTGCCTTAGCAATGGAGAAGCAATTCTCGCTGCCACCTGCCGACGTCATCGCTCCAACAGACGAACTAGTACAACAAACCCTAGACAATTACAGAACAGAAACATACGTCAAGTCGATTTACTTCACGCCCCTGGAAATTCAAAAGAAAATTAAGAGACTCCCAGGCAAAAAAGCCCCAGGACCAGACGGCATCACAAACGCCGCCCTTAAACATTGCAGCAAAAAGGTCATTATCCAGCTAGCCCACATTTACAACGGTTGTATTCGCCAAGAATACTTCCCGCGGCAATGGAAAACGGCTACAACGATAATGATCCCGAAACCAGGAAAGGACGCCAAAATACCAGCCAACCACAGGCCGATATCACTGCTCAACACAATGTCGAAGGTCTTTGAGTCGCTTCTTCTGGATCGACTCAAAATGTCATTCACACCACGCTCCGAACAACATGGATTCAGAACCCAACACTGTACGACGACCCAGCTAGTCAAAGTAATTGACGACTTAGCAAACAACTTGAACAACAGGAAGAAAACGGCAGCAGCACTCCTTGACATAGAAAAGGCCTTCGACAAAGTGTGGCACGACGGCTTAATATATAAGCTAATCAAACTCGACACCCCGCACCAACTGGTACACATCATAAAATCCTTTTTAGAAGACAGGTCATTCCACGTCAGAGTCGGAGAAACTGAATCGACACCAAGACACATCAACGCCGGCGTCCCACAAGGATCGAGCCTATCACCACAGCTCTTCTCCGTCTACATCGACGACATGCCCCGGCATCCCAAAACCAAGACCGCTCTCTTCGCCGACGACACTTTAATATACGCATCGAGCCCAACGAACACCTGCTCGTCAAAACGACTCCAAGAACACCTGAATCTACTGACACCGTGGCTCAAACAATGGAAGATTACAGTCAACGCCCAGAAAACAAACGCTATCATGTTCTCCAACAAAGCCACGACGAACACACCACGGATTGTCATGCAAGGTCAACAAATCAAATGGTCCCACTCGACCAGATACCTGGGAGTTCAAATCGACCGGAGGCTCAACTTTTCCCAGCACATCAACAAGACGGTCCAAAAAGCCAAAGCAGCCAAGAGAATGCTATTCCCGGTCATAAACTCAAAGAGCCCCCTCTCCATCAACACAAAACTGTCAATATACAAACTATACATCAGGCCAATCATGACGTACGGAGGAGCAGCCTGGGCGTCAAACCTTTCAGAAACAAGTTGGAAAATACTCGAAACCGTCCAAAACACCACGCTCAGGGCAATAACAAATCCAGCGCCATTTGTGAACAACACGGCAGTAAGAAACAGCACGAAAATGCCAACAATCCGAGAAACCATAAAGAAAGCGACACAAAACGTATACAAGAAGCTTGAAAACACCTCCCACCAACATCTCAAGCTAATCACCACCCGACCAGCTACAAGAGAGCGTCACCACAAACGACCCCTCAGCATCGGAAGTTAAAACACAAACGGAAGAAACCAAACAGGGAAAATAAAATCCACAGAGAATCAAGCCAATATATCAAACTCCCTGGAAGAAGCAAATAGCTTGAAACAGAGGAACAATCCAAACCAGCAATGCAAAAAATGTGCGGAGACATATTCGACCGTTTCGAGTTTTTACACACAGTCTACGAACTACCGACATGGCCCGTACCAAGCAAACCGCCCGCAAATCTACCGGAGGCAAGGCTCCCAGGAAGCAGTTGGCCACCAAAGCCGCCCGCAAGAGCGCACCGGCGACCGGAGGAGTGAAGAAACCCCATCGTTACCGTCCCGGTACCGTGGCTCTCCGTGAAATCCGTCGTTACCAGAAGAGCACCGAGCTGTTGATCCGCAAATTGCCGTTCCAACGTTTGGTCCGCGAGATCGCCCAAGACTTCAAGACCGACTTGCGTTTCCAGAGCTCGGCCGTCATGGCTCTGCAAGAAGCCAGCGAAGCATACTTGGTCGGTCTGTTCGAAGACACCAACTTGTGCGCTATCCACGCCAAGCGTGTTACCATCATGCCCAAGGACATCCAGTTGGCTCGCCGTATTCGCGGAGAACGTGCTTAATCGTCTCAATACTCTACAAATCCTCTTTAAAACGGCCCTTTTCAGGGCCACTACATGCGTTATACTACAATTATTTCTTAGATATCGGGTGGTTATTACTTATTATTGTTTACTAGTGTGACTACATTAACGATGTATTTTATTAACAACAGCCCGCCAGAAGAACGATTGTATATACGATATTATTATGTTTTTTGTGTACGACTGCCGGTGTAATAGTTAAACCGTATGTCGTTTTAGGTCGCCGACCGCCGCTAGGTGACAAAACACGACGATCATACCGTGTTAATTTATCACCAGATAAGAAGGGTCGTGTGATATAATACGAACAAACGACCGTTATATTTAAATTGTAACACGGAATCCGTTTGAACGGATTGTAGCCGGGGACGATGAACGAATCAGTCGGGTGGCCGTGAAACGACGAGATAACAGGACGGCGGTTTTTGCCGTGTCAAAACGATAAAGGTGTGTTATTTAAAAGCAGACGACCACCGCAGCAGATAGTAGATACACGATTAAGCTTTATCTCACGAAACGTTGCCAACCGACGGCGGTCCGAGACATTTCGTACTCGCTATGTAGGAGCCCGAAATTTAGTTAAAAAAAAAAAAAAAAAAAAGCGAAGGTACACGTTATGTGGCACAACGTTATACTGGCGGACGGACGCCTGTGCGGATATAGGCGTATGTATACTATATTGTGTTGCACGGAAAACGCGAACGGGCTACTGTAGTAAGCTCGTGCTTACTTTTTATTATCAATATGTATGTATTGTGTATATTTGTACGATGACATTGTGACTCACGTTTGGGCTTTTATACTATTTCCTATTATTTACCTTGACTGGCTAGGACCTAACCGAGACAGTATCGGTCGGTCAAGACGCTGAAATATAGGCCTTGGAAATTTTCGTTTACACCGAAAGCGAAAAGGCGGTGTGCACAATATTATTATACTAACGGACTGTATAGATATACTATATAATGTAGTATAATATTAAGTCGTATGCAAAATACAAACAGGTAGCTACTACACTGCCGCCGTCCCGGACAACGACGACGATAACGGTTACTGGACACGGGGAAGACGCTTATCAGTTATCACGCGAGAACGCGGCGGCCGTGATAACCACTATATCTATACATTATCATTACCGTTATATTATTATTTGTATATAGACATAACGTATAATACTAAATCGGTCGTCACTTTTTCGTTCACGTGGAAAGCGACTCTCGTCGGGCTACTGTAGTAAGCTCTGTAGTTATATACTGGCGGACGGACGCCTGTGCGGATAAAGGCGTATGTATAGATATATTATATCGAGTCGTATGGAAAACAGGAAGAGGTACGATGATGACGATAGATATATGTATATATATTATACTATATCGTGTTGTACGGAAAACGCGAACGGGCTTTTACCGTCTCGCTCGGTTAACATTGAAAGCGAAAAGGCGGTGTGCCAATAATATATACTAACGGACTGCGGTAGATATACTTTATTATGTAGTATAATATTAAGTCGTATGCAAAACACGAACAGGACGACGATGATAACGGTTACTGACACGGGGAAGTCGCTTATCAGTTATCACACGAGGGACGCGGCGGCCGTCGTAACAACTGTATCTAAACATTATTATTTGTATAGATATAACGTATAATACTACTAAATCGGTCAGGATCCCCGCCCGGCACGGTGGTGCAAAACACGATCGATTTGACCGGGGCGAAATTAAATTTTCGCACGGTCAGGTTAAGTTTGGCGTGCACAATATATCATACTGACGGGCGGACGGTATGCCTACACGAGTATTTGGGAACGCATAGTTATATTATATTACGGTGTGTGCAAAACGCGAACGGGCTACTACACAGGCGGCGACCGTCGTCTCGCTCGGTTTGGCGCGTCCGGCGCTATACGGCGGCCGCGACTACTGATAACGAATACTGATAACGCGGCGGCCGTTTACCGCCGTAACGTTTTATCTATACGTTGTCAATATTATTATCGGCCGCGTACGGGTACAGCGTATAATACTATGTAGACAGATATGCGAAACACGACACGACGTTTTTATCGGGACAAAATCGAATTTTACTCTATACCGGTACGGGTCTCGGCGCGGTCCCGACAAAACGGCACGGTAATATCAAAACGAATACTAACGCTATAAAACACGGCCGTCTCTTCCTACCGAAGCCCATTTGTTTACATACTTCTAGTCGATAAGATCGAAACGAATAACGCGGCGGTCCGGTTAGGGCGGCACGACGGCCTAAATAAAAAACGGTCCGTGCCTTTTCGTTTATCGCGTGATATTTCGTCAGGACGATCTTTAGTTTTCTAAACGTTCGAACCCGCATTATTCCTAAGTCTTTTTAAAGAAAAATTTTCTATTAGTCAGAAACATTATTTAGGCGAGCGAAACCGCCGAAGTCAAACGACGACGGGCTCTCCGACAACGCCAGTCGGCCGTTCGAACCGGCTTCGGAGTTAAATTCTCGGTCGGCCGTCCGCCGCCGGTCGGTCAGGTCGGGTCGGGTCTCCCTCGCCCGTTTTCGGCGCGTTCGCGGCCAATATTATGTTTTTTTTTTTTTGATAAATCCAAAAAAAATCACGCTCACACGCTATTTTATAGAACCGGGGCGTAATAAACGACACGAAACCAATGTATTTTCGTGATCGTGTTTATTTCACGGGGTTTTTTTTTTTATTTAGGAAAAGGTATAACGATCGAGACCGTCGATAAGGTCTTGCCGCGTTTTAAAATAGCTAATTGCGACTCGTCTTGCCCCCCGACCCCGAACGACGGGTAAATTTATACGAAATCCGGTTTCACAATTGTATGAATTACAAGGTCGTCGTGAAGGTCACGAGTCGTTGTAGAAAAAAAACGCCTCCACCGAGTTCTCTTCCCCCCCCCTCCATGTTCGCTTTTGCCGCCTCTCGCGCGACTTTTCCGTTTGTTTTCTAATCGAAAATATTAAACCTAACCTAACCTAACCTAACCTAACCTAACCTAACCTGACTTTACCGTCGTCGGCCGCCGCGGCACCGTTCGTGTGTGTATGTATTTCGTTTGTGTTTACCGCGCTCGCCGGCCGACGTCGTCGTCGTTTTGTGTCGCGGGAACCCCTCCCCCCTCCGCACGCGACCAGTCGGTGGCGCGGAGGGCGGGGGTTAATTGTAGGTTTTACAGAGTGTAAATAAAATATTAAAACGTTATTGAAGTGTCGATTTTATTTTAAATCCATCTTCCTCGCGTCGATTCCGACTCCTGAACAACAAATAAATTACTCGACAGCCCGGTGACCGGATCATAACGAGATGTGTTATATTACGGTGTGTGCAAAACGTGAACGGGTTACTACGGAGGCGTCCAGCGCTATACGGCGGCCGCGACTACTGATAACGCGGCGGCCGTTTACCGCCGTAATGTTATATCTATACATTGTTAAATATTATTATCGGTCGTGTATAGGTATAACGTATAATACTGCGTAGATAAGTCGTCACATAGATAGGTGTGCACGATATTATGTAGTGTGTTAAATCGTATGCAAAACACGAGCAGGTAGCTACTATACTGCCGCCGTCCACCGCCGTAATGTTACATTATTATTATTATCGTCGTTATCGTCAGTCGTGTATAGATATAACGCGTATTACTAAATAATCGGTACGGCGTGCACAATATATTATTATACTGACGGACGGGCGGGTCGCCTGTACGGACATTCGGGAATAAATAGATACATTATATCGAGTCGTATGCAAACGTGAACGGGTCGCTACGAGCGCGGCGACGGCGGCAAACGGTTTAACGCGTCCGGTGCTATACGGGGACACTGATAAACTGATAACCCGGCGGCCGTCCACCGCCGTAATGTTATATATATATATTTGTTATTTTTATTAATATTAGTCGCGTATAGATATAACGCGTAACGCTAAACGGGCCTTAGACGTTCAAAGCGAAAAGGCGGCGTGCACGATATTATGACAACGGTGATAACGCTTATCACGCGAGAACGCGGCGGCCGTTATGACCGCTATATCCATACGTTATCGTTACTGTTGATTATTGTTTGTATACTACTACGCTCGCTCGGCCGTGCCGCGCCGCCCAGGACGCCGGTACACCGATAACATTATTAATATTATTATTAGTCGTGTATAGGTATAACGTACGACACCGTACGGATGGGTCGTCGCTCGTTTTTCGTCTTATCTCCCGTCCTCGGCTCGTCACGGTGGTCGGTGCAAAACACGATAATATAATATTTTTATCGCGGCAAAATGGAATTTCACCGCGTACAGGTCTTGGTGCGCGGTCCTGACAATACGGCACGGTAATTTTATAGAACCCGGGCGTAACAAACGACACGAAACGAATGTATTTTCAGTCGACTTTTGCACAAAATCGCATAAACGCGGCCGATCGTGGTGTTTATTTCACGGGGTATTTCTTTTATTCAGGAAAACGTACAACGATCGAGACCGTCGATAAGGTCTTGCCGCGTTTTAAAATAGCGAATTGCGACTCGTCTCGCCGCCCCCGGAAGGACGGGTAAATTTATATGAAATCCGGTTTCACGTTTGAATTTTACAATCGCGTGTATTACAAGGTCGTCGTGAAAAAAAAACGCCGTTCGCCGTTCTCCCCCTTCCCCTCCGCGTTTGCTTTTGCCGCCGCGCGCGACTTTTCCGTTTATTTTCTAATTGAAAACATTAAACCTAACCTAACCTTACCGTCGTCGGCCGCCGCGGCACCGTCCGTGTTTACCGCGCTCGCCGGACCAGGGGTAAACGGGCCGGCGTCGTTGTCGTTTCGCGTCGCGGGAACCCCTCCCCCCGCCGTACGCGACCAGTCGGAGGCGCGGTGGGCGGGGGTTAATTTTTTTATTACCGTGCGGACGCAGATGACAGTGTAAAAACACGTTCTTATCGCGCGCGGCCGGCGGGTGGGCGAGGCGTACGGGGTAAATGGCCGCCCGGTCGGATTTATTTAAAACTATTCCTTTCGGAAATCGTCAATTTCAAC